CCCTGTTATACTAGTCAAGACAAAAGATGGCACATGGAGGCTTTGTGTTGACTATAGGTACCTTAATGACCTAACCCTTAAACATAACTACCCAATTCCTATCATTGATGAGCTGCTGGATGAATTATATGGGGCCTGATTCTTTTCCAAAATTGATCTGAGAGCAGGGTACTTCCAGATTTTGGTTCAACCAGAGCACAGGCCTTATACAGCTTTCAGAACTCATAGTGGCCACTATGAGTTCCTTGTGATGCCTTTTGGGCTCTGCAACGCCCCTGCCACCTTCCAGTCCCTAATGAATCAGGTATTTAGGGAACAGTTGAGGAGATCAGTATTGGTTTTTTTTTATGATATTTTAATTTACAGTTCTACTTGGGAGGAGCACCTTAAACACCTAGAGGAGGTTCTAATGTTACTAAGGAAGAACAAGCTATTTGCTAAAATGAGTAAGTGCCACTTTGGGCAGACCCAGGTAGAGTACCTTGGTCACATAATCAGTCAAGAAGGAGTCTCAGCTGACCCTAGCAAGATAGACAGCATGGTCAAGTGGCCAACTCCATCCACAGTCAAACAACTAAGGGGATTTCTGGGGCTCACAAGATATTACAGGAAATTTATAAAGAACTATGGCCTCATTAGCAGGCCACTTACATTGCTGTTGAGAAAGGATGGATTCCACTGGGGACCAGAAGCTGAGATTTCATTTGAAGCACTTAAGGAGGCCATAACCACAGCTCCAGTATTGGCACTACCTGATTTTTCTAAGACTTTTGTACTGGAAACAAATGCAAGTGGCAGTGGGGTAGGGGTTGTGTTAATACAAAGGGGAAACCCTTAGCTTTCATGAGCAAGACCCTTTGTCCCAGGAATCAAGCCCTATCCATCTATGAAAGGGAGTTTCTAGCTGTAGTAATGGCTGTTCAAAAATAGAAACATTACCTGCAGGGAAGGAGGTTTATAATTAGGGCTGATCAACAATCCTTAAAGTTCTTGATGGAGCAGAAGATCAACACTCCTATGCAATAGAAAGGAATGATTAAAATGCTGGGGCTAGACTATGAAATACAGTACAAGAGGGGAACTGAAAATAGAGCAGCTGATGCTCTGTCCAGAAAAGAAGAAGGGATAGAGTACCTCTCAGCTATGTCAGTGGCTTTACCTAAGTGGGTGCAACAAGTCTTGGACAGCTACAAAGGGCATGAATTCACTAGCAAAATCATCACAAGTAAGGTGGTGGACCCAAGTAGCTACCCAGATTTCGCAGTCACCAATGGGCTCCTAAGGCATAAGGGCAGGCTAGTGATAGGGAATGACCCACAGTTGAGGAAGGGTATCATAGCTGAGACACACAACACAACTTATGGTGGACACTCTGGAATATTTGGCACTTATTCTAGGCTGCAAAGAACTTTCTACTGGCCAGGTGTGAAGACTGACATTACCAGTTGGGTAAAGGAATGTGATGTGTGTGCAAGGAGTAAACCTGATCATGGAGTCTACCCTGGGCTCCTACAACCCTTACCTATTCCAGAACAGGCTTGGAGTCATATCTCAATGGACTTCATAGAGGGACTCCCAAATTCTAAAGGGAAATCAGTCATTTTTTTGGTGGTGGACAGATTTACCAAGTATGCCCATTTTATGGCCCTATCTCACCCCTACACTGCTCAATCAGTAGCTCAACTCTTCTTAGATCACATTTACAAGCTACATGGGCCACCGGTGAGCATTGTCTCAGATAGAGACAAGATCTTCACCAGCACCTTTTTGAAAGAGCTGTTCCAGCTTGTGGGAACTTCTCTAGACATGGGAACAGCCTACCATCCCCAAACAGATGGTCAAATTGAAAGAGTCAACCAATGCCTAGAGATCTACTTAAGGTGCGTGACACACAGTCACCCTAGGCTATGGACCAATTGGCTACCCCTAGCTGAGTTCTGGTACAATTAAAATTACCAGAGTAGTATCAAGATGACACCATTTCAAGCATTGTACGGCTACCAACCCCCTAAGTCTTCTCTAGACCAATACCTGGGGACACAAGACTTAGATGCAAAGCACTACATGCAGGAAAGACAGCTACTTTGCCAAGAACTTAAAGAAAACTTGCAACAATCACAGGCTCGGATGAAGCTATATGCAGATACACATAGACAGGAAAGAGCATGAGTGGGGGATTTAGTTTATTTGAAACTTCAACAATTCCGGAAAAACTTAGTATCACTTCGAAAGAACCTTAAATTGTCGGCCAAATATTTTGGACCATTTGCTGTTTTGGAAAAGATCGGGTCTGTTGCTTACAGATTGGATTTACCAGAAGGTACGAAAATTCACCCCATTTTTCACGTCTCTCTACTCAAAAAGCCCAATGGAAAAAGAATGTCACCTGAAAGCGAATTAACTGCTGTTGACACCGACGGTGGTTTCAAGGTTGCACCTTTGGCGGTCGAGGGTCACCGTATAATCCATCGCCGCCAGCAAACGGTTGAGCAGATCTTAGTGCGATGGGCTGGAACTGGCCATCATTCCACCTCTTGGGAAGATCCGAGTTTCATCCGCCGCAAGTTTGCCTCTTTCAATCCTTGTGGACAAGGATCTTTCGAACAAGGGGGAAATGTTACGGATTTGGGGCTCAAAGATGGGGAATCGATTTTGCAAGAAGGGGGAATGGAAATTAGGGTTCTTGAAAGTGAAAAGGAAATCGAAAAGCCGAAAATGAAAATAAAAACGGAGTTGCTCGATTTGAATGAGAATGGCCCGACACGTGGCAGTCAAACCCAGAAGACCGAAGAGACAAGTGTTAGTAGCATAGCAGAGTGAAGTGGCTATTTAAGTGGTTTCTTTTAAGATTAATTATTAAATATCAGATTGTTATTTTAGATTCCTTTTTATGTATTTTGGCATGTAGTAGGTGAAAATGGTGTGGGATCTTGTTTGTTATTTAACTTTCGTGAAATGAGAAGAAAGAAACAAGAATTACAACCAACTTCTCTCTCTTTCTCTCTCTCTTTCTCTCTCTACAATTTCTTCTTCCTCCATTGTCTTCTTCCTCAAGGAATTACAGTATCCAAATCCACAAAAATTATCATACAAAATAAGTAAACACAACATGCAAATGGAGCTGCTCTCGGCAATCGACAAACTTCAACGGAGAGTTGATAGTCTCGACATTGAACAAACTTCAATGGAGATCTGTTTTGCTGCTCGTCGTTCAGATCCAAATCCTATCCGTCGCCGCCGGCCTCAGCCTCGTATCTTCCTCCTCCACCGTAGTCCGTCTGGAATACTGTAGATCTTTCCGCTGGAAATCGGACAGTGATGACGTTCACCTAGCTCGTCACTGGTACCGCTTTCCTTTAACCAAATTTGGCCTTCCTGGGATACTCGGAGAAGAAAGAGCGGATAGGCACTGTAGGCAAGCTTGGAGCAGCCTTTTGCTTCACTACATTATTGCTCAAGTGTCATTTTTTTTGCCTTGCTTCCTCTTGCTCGAATGTCTGTTTCTAATTTACGACTTTGAGATTGTGGTTGTTGATTTGTGGGGCTCAATCATGTAAATTAGATTAACTTGGAGGGTTGTTTTGAATAATTTATAAATCATAGGGACCTAACTGCAATTTCATGAAATTTAGTATACTAGGCAATGAGCCAAATTCATAACAACTCAAACTATATTGAAGATTTTAAAAATTTTTATTTATATTTAAAATAATCTAACAATTATAAAATAAAGCCGTCGTCAAACTGAAATAATCGATTTTAAAATAAAAATATGTGCAATTTGTGTAGCACTATTTTGCACACGAAATGCATGAATTATTTACGATCTACCCTAAATCAAACTAAATTTAACGAAATAGTCGGTGTATTTGATCGGTTAGCCAAAGCAACATAAATAGTCGAAGTAATTTAGAATTTGTACCTAAACATTTAGTTTTGTCGGGTGCGTCCAATATAATGCAATCCGATATTCATTAATATGCAGTCCATCTAACACAATTATGCAATCGTAGTGTGTGCACTTTTTATGAATTGCCCCAACCCAAAACTAAAGCCGAACGAAATTGTCGATTTATTTTACCGGTTAACCGAATTAAGATAAATAACCAAAATAATTTATATTTTTATATAATATAAATATAGACTAGTTTAATATTTTATTTGGTATTCTATATTACTTTTGATTGTAAAGACCTACAATATATAAATAATAATATAATATTTTTTTACATAGTTCGATTGGTTCGGATATTTTTAAAAAATAAAGCTGATATCGAACTGAAATAACCAAATATTTTAAAGTAAAATAGATAATCGAACTAAATATAAACTTCGGACCCAAAAATTTAGTTTGTCGATTTCGGTCGCTATAGTGCAATCTGACAGTCACTAACGTGCAATCCGTCCATCACTAATGTTCACTCGAAGTGGCTAGTGAAAGAAACAGTAATGATGCTAATGTGCAATCGGTATAATACTACTTTGCAATCTGATATTCACTAATGTTCATCTTGATTAACATAATGGCCATTATGCATTATGAGTGTTTTTTACGAAACTGAGATAATTAGTTTATTTAGTTGGTTAACCGAATTAACATAAGAAATTATATAATATATATTATTTTTATATTTTAAAAATATAGGCCTAATTGCCGGAAAAAGCATGACCTTAGAACTTTTTGCCGTTTTAACCAAACTTTTGGAATTTAGCACGAAAAACCTAACCTTGTCTAATGTTTGCAACCCGAACCCAAAATGAAACGGCCGTCTCATTTTTGCCACCGTGTCCGTTAGCTTTACCTATGTGGCCAAACGTGCTGCTGACGTGGTAAACCACTAAAAACACGCATTTTCCCTCAAATCAAACCCGATTTCCCATTTTCATGACTTTCAGACTTCGATTTTTTTTCTCTCTTTGAAAATATTGTGGTCCCATTGTTGTCGAAGCTCACAATCTTGTCATCGAAACGCACAAATTGCGGTCCCATTGAAGCGATTATGACCGACAGGTATGCCAATCCTTCATATTTTTAATTTGTTTTCAAAATTTTGAAATTCAAAGTCATCGTTCGAATTCGAAATTTGCTGGGAACATTTTGTTTGTTTGTAAATTTTTAATCCAATGTTAATTTTATATTAAGTAGTGATCCAGTGTTAATTTTGTTTCGAAAGAATGAAAATTTGTTTGTCAATTTAGGGTTTCTCTTCAAATTAGGGTTTTATTTTAAAATTAGGGTTGATCAAGATTAGGGTTTCGAACAATTTTGAATTGGTTACAGTTTATTTATTGTACATTCATTTTGAATTAGGGTTTCGAACAATTTCAAATTGCTTACAGTTTTTTGTTATTGTAAATCATATTTAAATTAGGGTTATGACAGAATTAGGGTTATTTTAGAATTGGGGCTAATTATAAAATTGTTATTGATTTTTTTTCTATGTTTAATTAATTGCAGAGACAAATTTGCATTGATTGTCAATATTGGAGGTTATTTTGTGAACTGTGGACCTGTTGTGGAGTATATATGTGGTAGTTTAAAGAGTATTTATGGGTTAAATGCTGATAGATTTGGCTACTTTGACCTAGAAGAAGAAATTAAGAAGTTGGGAGTTAACAAGTATGAAAAAATTGTGTATAGAATACCTGATGCTGGTGTTGGAGCTGATAGTTTGAGAGATGTAACTGATGATAAAGGGGTTATGGAGATTATTAGTTGTGGTAAGAATAAGAAAACTATAGTTCAGATTTATGTGGTTGGTGGTGACATTAATGATGATGGAGCAGATGAGAATGTTGAGGCATCATTCCAGACAAAATCTTCTAGCCAACAAGATACGGATGATGGGGAAGAGGTGAATGGTTTGAGTCGGGCTGAGGCATCAATTGGTAAAGAGCTTGCAGACCAGTTGGAGGATATTAATGATATTATTGACAACTTCACTTCTGTTGAACATGGTGAAGGTGATGCACAAACTAATAGTGCATGTGCTGGGTTGGGGTCACAAGAGTCATCTGATGATGAAGATTATTTTCCAACTGGGGTGAGTTCATCAGATGGTGACCTTTCTGATGATCATCTTTCTGATGATGATGAATATGTTCAGGCAAGAAAGAACTTAAAGGAGTCTAGGAAAAAAGTTCAAGATTGGGATGATGATGCAGGCTATACACATCCAATGGCCACAACTGAGATGGACTTTGAAGAGGATGAATTGTTACATAATGCACTAATCTCTGATGAGTCAGATAGTGACAGAGAAATGGATTTGGAAGGGAATTTTGTTAAAAAGAGGACAAGGTTATTGTATGATCCCAAGTGTGATCATAATTCACTTGAGTTTCAGCTTGGCATGAGGTTTGAAACCATTGATCAGTGCAAGAGAGCCGTGAGAAGGGTGGCAATTGTGCAAGGTAGAGATATTCAGAATATGAGGTGTAACAAAAGGCAATTGGAAGCTAGATGTCAAGATGGCTGCCCTTGGAGACTTTATGCCAGTGTGATTGAAAGAGAAGGTAGTGTGGCTATAAAACAATTGCATAAAGATCATGTCTGTCATAGGAATGCGCACACTAGACAACTCACTGCACAGTGGATTGCTGAAGAGTTTGGTGAAAAATTCAGAAGGAATCCAAACATGACAGTTGCACAATTGGAAGAAGCAATTTCTGAAAAGTTTGCAGTTGTACCTACAAAATGGAAGCTTTATAGAGCAAAGTGGAAAGCACTTGAAATGCTTAGAGGTTCTGTCATAGAACATTACTCCTTTCTGAGAAGTTATATGGCTAAGTTGATGAGGGTGGATAGAGAGGGCAGGTTTGAGTTCTTGGGGAAAATACCACATTAAGAGGCTTTTATGTGGGTTTTAGTGCTCTAAGAAAGGGATTCACCAATGGCTGCAGACCCATCCTTGGATTTGATGGATGTTTTTTGAAAACTTTCTTAGGAGGAGCCTTGTTATGTGCCATTGCCAAAGATGGAACAATCAAATTTATCCAGTGGCTTGGGCTGTGGTTGAGGCTGAAAATGAAGAGTGTTGGAAGTGGTTTCTCTCAATTTTGTTTGCAGAAGTGGGTATAAAGGATGACTTAGGATATACTTTCATTTCAGACCAACAAAAGGTTAATATTCTGTGCAATTTTGAGTTTTCGTTCTTAATTTCAAACATTAGCATGTTTTAAATAATTTTTTGTTTGTAGGGTTTGTTGAATGCTCTGAGGGACTTGGCCCCAAATGTTGAGCACAGAAATTGTGCTCGACATGTTTACATGAACTGGAAGAAGCAATTCAAGGGGCAAACTTTGAAAAATTTGTTCTGGAGAATTTTTCTAAGCACTCACCTTGGAGACTACAACATTGCTTTGGAGGACTTGAAGGCAGAATGCAAAGAAGCTTATGAAGAATTTATCAAGAAAGATCCTTCAAAGTTTTGTAAGGCTTTTGTCTCTTCTCTTCCTAGGTGTGATATGATAGAAAATAATGTTAGTGAGACTTTCAATGGGTTTATAGTTAAGGGAAGAGGAAGCCACATCATTGAGATGCTTGAATTTGTAAGGACTGAACTAATGAATAGACAACATGGGAAATTGATGGAGTTGAGTGGACATCCTGACAATCTTTGTCCTAGAATAAGATCAAAGGTAGAACAGAACAAATATTTGTCAAGAGTGTGTGTCACAAAGCCTGCAGTTGGTGATAGGTTTCAGGTTGCTTTAGAAGATGATCAGTTTGTGGTGGATTTGAGGAATAATACATGTACTTGTAGACAATGGGATATAACAGGGATACCTTGTGTGCATGCTTGCTCAGCAATACACTTTCAGCATAAAGATCCTGCAGACTTTGTGTCTGAGTATTTCTATACTGAGAGGTACTTGAGTATGTATAGCACCTCATTGGAGCCCATAAATGGAAAAAAAAAATGTGGCCAGCTGGAGAAGGTTATCCAATCTTACCGCCTCCTTTCAAGAAGATGCCTGGCAGACCTAAGAGAAAAAGAAGAAGGGCTCCTGAGGAAGAAGCCAGAAGTGTAGGCAAGTTGAGAAGGTTTGGGCTGATTATGACATGTCAAAGGTGTTTGCAAAAGGTGCATAACAAGAAATCATGCACCCTGCCTGAAGTTGAGAAACCTGCTATGGTTTAAATTTCTATTCATTCATAGTACTAAGATTTTGCTATTTATTTCTTTACATTCTTTAATCATTGTCATTTTTCGTTGTACAGAAGCCAAAGGGAAGGCCCAGAAAGCATACTGCACCCCACACAGTGGTTCAACCACCCCAAACTGAGGTTCAGCCACCCCAAACTGAAATCATGACAAGCCCACCATCTGAGACAATGACAAGCCCACCAGTTGAGAGGCTGACAAGACCACCAGTTTAGAGGATGACAACTCGGTCTGTTGAGAAGATAAATAATCTGCCGGTTAGGAGGTGCAGTCAACGCTCATCAGTCATACAAAAAGAAAGAGCCTTGGTAGTACTTTTATATGGAAATTTTCTGAAATTGGTACCAATATTAGACAACTCAATTATTTTGTTCATTTGTTTGGCAGGCAAGGAAAGGTTTTGGTATCTTGCAATCTGAGGAAACTGGTAATGTTTACATGAAGGCATGGTTGTTTATAAGAATTCACTATTTCTGAAATATAATATAATATAATATATTTATTGACTAACATATGACGTAATTATTGTATAATATAATGCAGTTGTCATCTACAAAAAAGATTCATGTGATTTCAAACACTGCTAGAGAAACAGGCCAAAGTAGTGGGTCAACCACTGGTAGATGAAGAGGAAGAGGGCAGAGGAGTGGGTCTACCACTGCCAGAGGAAGAGGAAGAGGGCAAAGTACAGGGGACTTCATATGCACTCAAGAGAGTGAGGCTGGAAATTAAGATGTAGTATTGTTGAACTGATGTGGTACCATTAAACTGATTTTGCTATTTTTAGGGTGTGTTTGTTTTGTGTATGGAGACTCAGTAGTTTGAACTGATCTTTTGGATGTGTTTTTGAGTTTTGTGGGATCTGGATGTGTTATGGGATATTTATGTATGTCTTTATGTGAAAATCACTTAAATGAAGTGTTTTGTTCTTTGAATGTGCTCTGTTTATTGAAAAGGAAGTGTTCTTTGGAATTCATGTGATATTGTGCCATGTCAATTCTTGTAACATAAATATGCATAGACTTTCAATTCTTGTAATAATAATATGCACAATAACAGAAATAAGATAATTCTTGTAATAATAATACATTCATGCAAAAGGTTTTCAATTCCATTACATATATCAACCAAACATAATTCTACCAAAACACAATCACAACAAGAACCATAACAACAACAATCACAATCACAACAAGATCATAGCCATTTTTACCAAACACATTAGTTCATCTTCAGCTAATGGACATACCCATTTCTACCAAACACCATCACAACAACTATAACACCATCACAACAACCATAACAATTAAAACCAATCATCAATACATACATTTTCCTTCCAAGGTTTTTCACTTGAGTTAAGGTCTTCTCAAGAACCAAAAGTACTTCAGCATTCTTGTGACCATCAACCTCAAGCCCTGTCACTTTGTTTTCAAGAACCATAAGTACTTCAGCATTCTTGTGACCATCAACCTCAAGCCTGTCACTTTGTTTTCAAGAACCATAAGTACTTCAGCATTCTTGTGATCATTAACCTCAAGCCCTGTCACTTTGTTTTCAAGCTCCTCAAGTGAAGACAAGCTTACTTCTCTCACACCCGACCTATCATTGTGTTGTTTTTCCATGGCCCGTAACTTTTCTTCTAAAGCCTTTTTTTCAGCCTTCAATCTGATGAAGCATGTCCTTTGGAACTCAGGCAATGCAGGATCAATCCAATCAAACAAACCACAATCTTTTACCTGTTCCAAAAAGTTTGGTTAAAAACCATATGTGTATCCACCCATTCTGAACAAAATTGCCGTAAAATTGCAGAACAAAATACAATAATAAATTACCTTTCTATTTGGACACCTGTAGAACCTCCGACATGGATTGTCGTCAATGCCAGAGGTGAAAACATCGGCCTCATCCAAACAGCCGCACAGCCTCCGCACAGGGATATTGGATGAAGCGCTATGTTGCGAATTAGGGCTTGTACGAGACGCGCACGACATTTTCAGAGGATGAAGCTGGGAAATTAGGGCAACAATTTGGGGTAGAACACGGATCGAAGCTGCAAAATCGTGAAAAACATGATCGAAAATTAGGGTTCAATGGATGTTGATACTTATACGACTAAATTGGGATGAAGCTACTGGATTTTGGGGAAGAACACGATAGAGTGATGAAGCTGCTGGATTTTAGGAAAAAATCTTCGAAATTAGGGTTTCATTTTGAGGAAGAATGGGAAATCGGGTTTGATTGGCGGTAAAATGCGTGTATTTATATTGGTTTTTAGTGGTTTACCACATCAGCAGCACGTTTGGCCACATAGGTAAAGCTAACAGACACGGTGGCAAAAATGAGACGGCCGTTTCATTTTCGGTTCGGGTTGCAAACATTAGACAAGGTTACGTTTTTCGTGCTAAATTCCAAAAGTTTGGTTAAAACTGCAAAAAGTTCTAAGGTCCTGCTTTTTCCGGCAATTAGGCCAAAAATATATTTAGTATTCTAATATTTTTATGTAATATTTTAAATTATTTTTGGTTGTAAATAAATATATACGTAAAAAAATTAATACTTTTTTATATAAGTGGGATTGGTTCGGTTATTTTGAACAATAAAGTTGACATCGATTACTAAAATTTTAAAAGCAAACACAAATAATCGAACCAAACTATAAATCGGGAACCCAAAACTGTATGGTCGTTTAGACCGTTATAGTGCAATCTCATAGTCAGTAACGTGCAACTCGTTTAGCACTAATGTGCACTCTAGAGATGTTAACGGGCTAGCCCTAACGGTTTTGGGCTAGCCCTAGCGGGCTTCGGGTTAAACGGTCCGGGCCTAAAAAGCTCGGATTTAAACGAGCTACCAAAAAAAGGACCTAACCCTAACCCTAGCGGCCTTCGGGCGATGCGGGCTATGGCTATAATAATAATAATAATAATAATAATAATAATAATAATAATAATAATAATATAATAATAATAATATATAAAAAAATAAAATAAAAAGAGTAAAAAATATAAAAAAAATAACAACGGCTAGTTAAAAATTGTTTTCAACGGCTATTTAGTAATTACCGTCTATCACTATGTTTCATGTATTTCTTATTAGTCGTTCTGATTGGCTTAAATATTTTGGTATGAAGTACAATAACAATATTGTTAATAAATATCTTTCAAAATCATAATGATCCATTACAAATCGTACTTACATGTGAAGTGGAATGTTAAAATTGTAATATACAAGGAATCTAAGAGCATATATTTACTTGATGCAAATATTTACACCGCCCAACCCTAGTTAAACGGTCCAGCCCTAGCGGGTTTCGGGCTATCCCTAGCGGGCTTCGGGCTAAACGGTCTGGGCCTAAAAAGCCCTGATTTAAACGGGCTAATAATAAAAGGACCTAACCCTCTTTTTTTTCGGGCTAAACGGGCAAGCCCGTCGGGCTAAAGACCATTTAACATCTCTAGTGCACTCGAAGTGCAACTATTTTTTATAAAAATATATTGAGTATTTTAACTTTTTATGTAATATTTTATATAGATTTTTTTGAAACAATAAAATATATATGTAATTTTCAAAATATATCAAGAACAATATATATATATATATATATATATATATTATATAATTAAATATTTGGCCAATAGGCTAAATTGAACTATAATCAAAACTCATGGAATTTTAGTTAAATTATAGATTTGGCCCAAGAACTAAATCGTAAATATCTAAAATATGTAATTATACATAACAATAAAATATTTTTCATAGTTCAATAGGGGTGATTATATTAAACTATAAAGTTAAAATCGAACCGAATCACAAAGAATCGAACCATAATATAAAATTCGAACACAACACTTTGTGTGTTCGTTTCAATCGTTATAGTGCAATCTCATAGTCACTAATGTGCAATCCGTTTATCATTAAAGTGCAACTATTTGTATATAAATATATTTAGTATTTTAATATTTTATATTATTTTTGGTAAAAAATATGATATATACATATGTATAAAAATATATATAAAAAATATTAAATTTTTATATATTTTATATAAATTACAGATTTGGCACATGTGAACTATATCAAAACTCTTAGAGGATGATTGGATATAAAAATTTTTGGTTTTGTTTGGATTTTTTTGTTTGGTTTGGTTAATTTTGAAAAAGTTGGTATGGTTAGTTGTTAGTTGGTATATTAAATAATATTTAAAATAAAATGATTAAAGTTGATTTGATGTAAAGTAGGTGAGAGAAAATTTGAAGTGATGGTTAGTTAAAATTATGTGAGTGGATGAATAGTGAATTAAGGTAAGGTGGTGTGTAAGAATGATTGATTGATATTATTTAATTATATTGATAATATTGATGATAGTGGGATTGAGTTAAAGTTGAGTTAAAAAAAATGGTTGAGTTAAAAATGTTTGGATTTTTTTGAAAAATTTTGTATCCAAACATGCTCTTAAAATTTAAGTAAAATTGTAGATTTGACCCTAGGAACTAAATTGTAATTTAGATAAAATTAGTGATATTGCAATTAAATCCCTGACATTTATCAAATTCTAAATACAAATCCCCCAACAGATCTGCTTGTCTCCATCCAAAATCCTCCGCCAGCCACCGACGGTGCGACCAACCCTTCTCAGCCACGCGAAAACCTCACCCATTGGCTACCTCCTCACGAATTTACTTTCAATTTTGTGTTCAATTTTGTTTTTGATTTTATATCCTCACGCGAAAACTGAGTCGCAGTGCCCTTGGTTTCAGACGGGAGCTTTTTGCTAGCGGAGACCGGGGCTGAGAACGGTGGATGACAAGGATTTGGCCGTCGTGAGCTGCGCCGACGGGAGCTTGTTGTTAGTGGAGATGGGAGGGCCGACGTCGACAGGGAGTTTGACAATTAATTTGGCCGACAATTTGGTCATCGTTGGCGGCGCCGGCGGAGCGTTTGCCACAGTGAGGAGCGCCGGCGTGCGTCGTGTCCGATGACTGGGGCGGCGTTGGGTGTCGCGCCAGTGGGTGGTCGGAGACGAGGAGATGACCGGCTGTAGGTGTGTGTTTTGGTCTGTGCAGGCGTGTGTGTACTGTGTGCGTATAGTGTGTGTGACCCTATATATATATTGGACATTTTATTATGAAGTATGGGCCATTTTATTATTAAGTATGTGACCCATACTTTTATTGTTCTCATTTATTTCACTGAGAACCATTCTCACGTGAGCGTGATATATTATATATATATATATATATATATATATATATATATATATATATATATAGAGTTAGGATCACATGGGAATGGTAGATAGTGAAAGAAATAAGAATAAATTTGTACCTTCGGATCCAACATACTAACGGTGGTGATCAAGTCAAATTTTATTATGTGTCAGTCAATCTTTAATGGCATTTTCGTATATAAAGGTACATTTTGTGGTCAAATTTATATATTTGACCACTCAATATGGATAAAAGAGACATTACTTACTCACCTATGGGTCCACCACAAACCCCACTAACTCTCTCTCACATTTACACCTAAAACACACACCTCTCTTCCGTCTAGACAAACTAACAACAGACACCATTAAACAGCCGCCGCCGCCCGCCGTACGCCGCCTGCCGGACACACCATTCAATCGCTTTGGACACCACCGGAAAACACGATTTACAGCCGTTGGATTCCGACCACCGGCATCAAATCGCCGCCGTCTGTCCCGTCGCCACCACCATAACCTGCCACTTCTCCATCCCGCACCAGATCCGCCGTCGTCGCGATCGGACAGCCATAGCCCCGAACATTTCGCCGTCGACAGCCGTGCGCAATTCGCCATCGCCTGCTTCCGGCAAAACATGTATCTGCTTCCGCCATCATAATTCGCAATTCATCTCCGTCAAAACACCTCCCGCGACGCCGCATCGTCTCCAGCAACCATATGCGAATTGACAGGACTTCCGTCGCCGTGCTAGTCCAAGCCTCGGCCACTCGAGCCTGTCGTCAGACCTTGTGTGGGATGACTCCGGTGACCCTGCTCCGCCATTCCAAATCCACATACACGGTCGGGCTGCAGTTTCGATGGCCTCCGGTGAAGGAAGAGTGGATTCAGGCTGAAGATGGCGGTGCTCTGTGTGAGGTTGCGGCTAGAGATGGCAATTTGACCTGGACTCGACCCGAACTGGCCCGGCCTGCCGCCTTTGGGGCGGGTTGGACCTGCCCCGTTATCCAAAATGGGCCAGGTCGGGTCCGCCCCGTCATTATACGGGGCAGGTCCGGGTATTGATATTCGCCCCGCCCCGACCTGGCCCGGCCCAGCACATAATAGTGGTGTATTTGAGAGTTGAAGCCCATTTTTTGTCTCTTTTCACATTACGTCTCTTTTTTTCCTCCTCTGTTTCTCATTCTCTCCAACTCTCTTGACTTTTCTTTTGTTTTTTCCACTTCTCCTTTTCTTCTCTCCTTTATCTCGTTCTCTCTTGCTTATTTTCTTCTCTCTTTTTTCATTCTCTATCAATCTCCTTGCAAAATATCTCATGTCACCTTCTCAAATTTTTTTCTCTTTTTTTCACCTCACAGATCTAGGGTTACTTCTTCTCTCTTTTTTTTGGTTGGAATTTGGATATTGATGTTTGATGCAGTTTCCATCGTCTTTGTTTAAAAAAAATTGAGATTTGAAAATGGATATTTTATACAAACAGATTGCATCCTCTGTTAAAAAAAAAAAATGGGGCAGGGCGGGTCGGCCCGCCCCGACACGGGCCAGGTCTCGGGCCCGTCTTGGTTGACCCGTAGCGGGTCACGGGCCAGGTCGGGCCATGGCCATAAGGTCGCGGGCCAGGTCTGGGCACGGTACTACCCGGCCCGACCTGGCCCATTGCCATCCCTAGCTGCGGCATTTGATTAGAATGTAAGGGTTAGGGGTTATTTAGTGGGAATTAGTAATTTTTAGGGACAAAAATGCAATATTTAAGAACTTTAATTATAATAGTTATAATGTAAATTGATTATTGGGTTAAATATATATTTTATTAAAAAATCTAATAAATGTAGAATACTGTTACAAAAATTGTGTAATGTGATTATAGATATGCATATAAATGTTCATGAAATTTAGTATAGTTCATGTATGGTAATTGATTTATTAAATATGCGATTTATTAAAAATTTAATAATTGCACGGTTATGTCCAGTGCAACGCACAACAACATTAGATAAATTGCACAATAACGTGTGTATATATGCACATAAAAAAAAAAAAGTCAAAATGTCATTTTTTTAACAAAATAGCTAAAATAAAATATTATTTATATTATTAGAAAAGATATAATTAGTATTTTAATATTTATGTTTAATAATTTTATATTATGATATTGGTTGAAAATTAATAATATTTTAAATTAAAAAATATATAAAACATAATAATATTTTTTTATAATGCGGTTGCCTATTTTATTTCGGTTATTTTTTAATATGTAAGTCGACACCAAAATAACCAAAATAGTATCGAGTTGAAATATAAGAATCCGAATAAAAAAAAAATTTTGATCAATTTCGACTACTATATTGTGCAGTTTGAAACCAATTGATGTGCAACTTGTCTTACACTAATGTGCAAGCAGGCTAAAATCGAACTTTAATATTTGGGATATTTGTTTGATTAACCGAATTAAATCAAACAATCGAAATGATTATAACTTATGTAATGAAATATATTTTAGTATTTTAATATTGTAATAATTTATTTTATATTTTGGTTGACACTTTTGATATATATGTATAAATTATATAAAATTATTAATTTTATAAAGTTCTATATGTTTTATTATTTTAAATATTTAAAGACGACACCTAACCGAGATCAATGAATTTTTAAAATTAAAATAGATAATCGAACCAGCATATAAAAAATTTGAACCGGAAATTTAGTTTAGTTGGTGTCGCCCACTATTGTGCAGTGTATCGGTCATTAATGTGCATTTCGTATAACATTATTGTGCACTCAAAATCTCAGTAATATTTAATCGAATTTACACAATATATTGTGCATTCTATTTGTGTTTAATTTGCATTTATCAAATTTTTTATAAATTACAAATTTGACACATGAACCAAATTGAAATATATCAAAATTTATTAAATTGCAATAAAGTCCTAGAAGATTATCTAATTTTCAATAAATGCCCTAATTCCCAAATTGCTTTTCTACCATTCCCCGTCGCCCTCCTCGTCCGCGCGTCACCTTCCTCCGGCCGGCGACATCAGGTGTCTCTTCTACAAAGGTCTTTTGCCGTTCGCTGTGTAAGGTATGCAAATGGAGATGGAGATTTNTCTGCAAAACCGCCATTAATGGCTGCCGACCTTGTCTATCGATTTTCTGATGCCTAGCGCCCAATACCGACGGTTTCGACGGCGGCCGGTGTGCGACATAACCTCAAGGTGGAGGAGGACGTCAGACTTCGTGAGTTGAATGACGGTGAACAGGGACTCGGGACTTCCGGCAGCGAGGTGGCACATGGCGGACGTCGGTCGGGCAAAGTTCCAGCGGGAGTTTGGGCGACGGCGCCGCCGTGGAAGTCCGGCATGTTTAATTTGTGTCTGTGTGTGTGTGACGGATTATATGTGTGAATTCAGCCTGTGAGAGAGAGGGAGAAGAAACGACAGTCGACAGAAAGAGGGGAGAGAGAGGGTTGAGGTGTCAGGAGGGTCCCACATGTGAGTTAGTTGGATGTGACAATTACCACTTTATCCTTAATGAATGTATAATTTTGGTTTTTTTGTAGCCATTAGATCATCCGATCTAATGGCTACAATTTATTCTTATTTATCTCATTGAGTACCATTCTCACCGGAGCGCGACCCTATATATATATGTATGCAAGAACAATAAAAGTAAAAAACATATCAAATATGATAAATAATATTAAAAATAACACTTACTAATAAATATAAAAAAAATAATAAATAAAAATATTATAATTAATAAAAGTAAACATATAACATTTAAAGCTTAATTAACGATGTAAATAAGTTGAGTTGTTAAACGTTTGTTAATTTTTTTGTGTTTTTTAATTCTATGTGTAAGTTTTGGTGATAGACAATAATTATTTGTACTTTTATCTATGTAGGTTAGAACATTTAAATTACAAATATAAACTTGATTATTGTAATTTTAAAAAACCTTTTTTTGTAATTATTTTTTTGTATATATTATATAAATATCATATTATATATATAAATAATAATTACTTTTAGTATTTAATGTTTAATATGTAAAAAGTGAAACTCAATTTAGAAAATAATAGATAATCTCGAGTTAAAATAATAAGTGATTTCCTAAAAAAATAAATGGACTAAAATGCCCTTGTGTTTAATATATTTTTAATAGAATAATTGTAAAGAATTAATTAATAACAAAAAATACTACATAAAAATCATATTATTTTTACAGGAAATACAAAATAATTTGATACATTGCAATAAAAAATCCAATAGTAAGGTATTCAACTGAAAATTTCAATGCATATTTCATTTGTATATCTTCCATTAAAGATTTTCATTGGCTATTCCAACAAAAATCAAATTAAATTACATTATAATTTTAGTAGGTTCAATGATTCCAATTATCATTATTTATTGTTGCGAAAATTTTCATTAGAATTTTTTTTTTCGACCATATTTCAACCGTTGAAAAAATTATCATTAGAATTGCAAAAAAATCAATGGAAGGTCTATTGAAAAGCTAATTGCAATGGTGAATCCAAAATAATTTCATATTGGGGGCACTATTTAGTTAATAGAAAAATTATATCATCAAACTAACATAATGCCATTACAATTTATAAATTATACTTTTCATAATTTGTCATATTTCTCATTTATAATACATTTTTAACACATCAGTACAGTTAGAACAAGTTAAAATATATATTTAAAAAAAATCATAACTGTTCTCAACTTAACATAAGAAAATCAACGATAATAATATATTTTTTAAAATTTTTGTGAACAAATAGTTATGTTGTAGTATAGTTGACTCGACAATACAATTAATGAATTTACTAATTATGAATATGTAACTAGAATTCCACATACATTAGTTAAAAGTGAGATAAAAATATATTTTGAAGATAGTGAAAAAAATAGGTTAGAAAAGAGAGAATATATATAGACTATGTAACACCCCACCTACTATTACTAGAAATCAGAGTAAATTTTTTGCACTAATTAATTTAAAATGCTGATTTACTTTTCGAAAATTCTAATTAACTTTTTTCCAAAAACACTTTAATCTAACTACGGGATGCTACTCAACTTTAATCTAACTCTCTATAATCTTCAATCTCCTACTCTGTTCTCTTTTACTATTATGCATGCAGTCAAGTAAAATTCATTACTCTATTAGGTGCCATGAAAGTTTACTGGAAATAGGCATGCATAAACTAAATACTGCTCTGAATACGGAAGCAAATATAAGTTCACACAACAAGGACAAACAGGCGACAAACAAAGCATGAAATAAAGCATAATTAATTCAAACAATACAAGACATACTATAACATAAATATCCTCGCTTATGACCACCGCCACATCCAGCTCACGCGCCACGCGGGACTTCGTCACCTGGAGAAATGATTAGTGGGGAGGCGTGAGCATAAATGAATCAACGATGCTCCGCCGGAACCGACGCTGAATATACATCACATTTAATAACAAATCATGAAATTAACATATATGAAA